TTGCCCAACCTTCCTTACAAGGAGTGGCTGGTGGGTTTGAACTACCTGCCTTCTGGTTAGCAGTCAAGTGCCTTAGGCACTATGCTACCAGAGCTACTCAATAATAAAATTGAGTATTTTACTGTTATTAAAATTGTTCTTGTTCCTCAGTAGCTAAGATAAGTTCTCTAGACTTCTAGACTCATCCACTCATTCATTTATTCACTCACTCATCAAGGGGAGGGATGAAATCAAGGAGCTTAACCAGGATATTCTGACACTGAAAATTGGCTACTTATTTTTAGTAATGCTAGGGGAATTTGGATGCAATCTGATAAAAATTTAATAAAATTTAAAAATAGCTCAAGAAAGAAACTGGAGCTTATTATCAAAATAGCCAATGTTCCCTTTTTGCATATTCTAATCACCATTTACTTACCGATGTAAACTGGTTAATAATGTATCTAAAACTAGATCCAACTTAAATTTCTGGCTAAGTATTCTGGGTATGTTTTTTTAAAAAAAAGAATCTCTATTTGAATATGCCTCCTACAGAAATGCAAATACAAAATGAGCTCTAGAGAATGCCACGCATAAATTCTACGCATTAAGCAAGCAGCGAGGCAGATAAACCTGACTGGAGGAGTAGATGGTATAATTTTCCTCCTTGTCAATGGTATAGTCCTTCATCTCCATTCTCAAAGCTTTGACCTTTGCCACCAACACCGTCCTGACCCTGCTGGTCCAGGATATGGATGTCATCAAGGGCAGCCACTAGCACCTCTGTGTCATAACTTTTGGTAATAACTCTTCCTTAAATGTAAGTGATTTTTTCTTGGAGCTTTTCAGATTGGGATGGGTGTATGTTAAATTAGCTTTTCAAAAACCTTTTTTGTAACATCTTTTCAAAAACCTTTCATAGTTAAGCCTTAAGTAGTTGTTGTTAATGATAGAGAGAACTTTTTGTTTGTCCTTTCTCTCTTCTGCCTCTTTACCACAGCCAAACCGTGTTTGAAGATGGTGTAGTACACTAGTGCTATAACGGAAACTCATTGGCACCAGCACTAAGGAGAACAGGCTCCACTCTATGGGTAATCTTAAGAACAACATTGTTCTTTATAGATATCAAGGGCATTGCCAACTTCACTTTATGGATTAAAAAAATGAAAAATTTAAATGTATTTTAAAGTGTCTTTCCTCAAGCAAAGGAGCCCTGGTGGTGCTCCACTCGATGGCAGTGGGTTTGGGTTTTGGTTTTCCTCAAGCCAAAATGTTCTGATTAATTACTTCTCACACATACATACATACACATGCAGCTCTTTTGAATCTTGTTTGGATTTCAGTATGTGAAATAAGTTATATAAATTATCTGGTAAGGAAGGGACAATTTCCATGTCCCAAAATCATTTACTCCAGGGCAAAATTTGTCCCAAAGGGGTAATGTATCAAATTATTTTCTTTTTCCAAAATTATCATTCATTTTTATTGCATTGGTTGCAACCTAATCTTTGAGCTTTCAGTTATTTTCAAGAGATAATTATGACTCCTAGTGGGCAATCTACTTCCGTAGTGATATGGCCTTGGAAACCCAAGGAGGGGTCGCTATGAGTCGGGGCCAACTCCACGGCACATAACAACAACAATGATGCAAAGCAATGTGTTAAGAAAAAGCAGTCTTGCAGGAGAGAGAAACAAACAAGCCAATAAAATAAAGACTGAACATTGCAATAGCAAACGTGTTTTGAATTAGAATGTTGACAAGAAAATAAATATCATTTTCACGGGTAGACTCCAAAATCAGTAACCTCTATTCAACTGTGTATTTTTAGCCATCTTGAAAATCAAATGGGAAACCACTGTTAAATACACTGTCCTTGACTAGATTCCGACTCATAGTGACCCTAAAGAACAGAGTAGAACTGCTCCATAGGGCTTCAAAGGCTGTAAATCTTTACAGAAACAGACTTCCACATCTTTCTCCCACAGAGCAGCTGGTGAATTCAAATCACTGATCTTTTGGTTAACAGCTGAACACTTAACTACTACAGCTCTAGGGCTCCTACCTTGCTTAAAGCAGTGGTTAAATAGTTTATGGATCAGTAACCCAATGGTTGCTGCCAATATTGGTCTGTAGGTCATTCTAGTTCCAACCTCTTAAATGTTGGGAGTCAGAATTGCCTGTCTTCTCACCATAGATACAGTCACTCATCACTCATGTCCCTACACAACATATTGTCAACACAGTACTTTCTCATGCAGTGCTTCATTTGACCCTGGTAGGCATGTTGGGGGGTTGAGAAGGCAGATACTATTATCTCTAATTTTGTCCATTAGGATCCCAAGTACATTTTGCTTCCCCATTTGATGGACTTGTTTAAAAATGTTGCTGAATCTTTCCAACAGTGACAGAGACTCAGTTGAAACGCGAAGGATTCAGCCAAACTGGTTATTTGGCCTCATGTAGACCACTATTTCCCAATCTGCAGTGCATCATGGCCTTTAATGTGTTGGGAAGCGCCCTGGGTGTGTGTCACAGCCCAGGGTTTCCTCATTTCCAGAGGCTTCCTGTCTCTCATCACTCTACCTTCTAACTGTCACTACAACCATACACCCTTCTTCAGCCTGATGCCAAAAACCAAAGTTCCGACCTTTTTCATTAAAAAGGAGTCCTCGGGAACAGAAGAAGCTCATCTACCTGGGTAAGGTCCAAACTGAACACAACCCGGAGGTAGGATGGAATGGTAGGTGGTGTAATAGCTCTGCACTGAGGTTGCTTGGGTTTTCACCCTGGTTCTCTCACCTGCTACCTCTGGGACTGTAAGCAAGTCGTATATCTCCGCGAGCCTTTGTTTTTTTTTTTTTCATTGATAAAATGAAGATAATTGTAGTATGTACTTCATGGAATTTCCATGAGATTTAACAGGGTTTCCAAGGCTGTAAATCTTTATAGAAGAAGACTGCCACATCTTCCTCCCTTAGAGGAGCTGGTGGGTTTGAACTGCCAACTGTTTGATTAGCAGCCAAACGCTAACCACTGTACCACAAGGGCTTATTAAATAAAATCTATGATGTATTTAGAGCAGTGTGTGGCACAAGATAAGCACTCCATAGATATTAGACGTTATTGTTTTTAAAGGCTGCAAATGTATAGAACAATTACAGGCACAAAATCATCTTCAACTATATAACAAATGTATGAAAAGTGATTTATGTTAAAAGAAAAGACTTTGACTTTTGGAAGTCAGTCCTTTATTGGTTACAGTAAAGGTTCTATGATCCTGTTCTGCAAATTCTTAAAATAAGAACAGTAAAAGCATTTATTAAGGGTTTACACTGTGCTGAGTGCTTTACAGTATTATGTCACTTAATCCTCACTAACCCCTATGAAGTAGTTTCTATTATTATCCTAATTTTACCAACAAGGAATCCAAGAGGCAAAGGTATTAATAAATAACTTGCCCTAGGTCAAAAAGCCTGTTTGAGGTGAAGCTGGACTTCAGTTTGAGGCCAGTTGGCTGCAGCATTCCTGTGATGAGGAAATTACACTGTGATTGTGCCAACTTGCCTTTGAAGAGACATGTTTATAAACCATGATGGCAAGGGAGTGAGACCATACATTATTTAAATACTTACTTACATTTAGTGCTAAGTTTGCCTTTGGGTGTCCAACAAATGAAATAGTCACATCACTAGAAGCTGATCATAAGCTTGTTTGTTTTGATGACGTTTCATTGGTACATTATTTGTTTTGCGAGATATTGTGCTAGACTAGGGCATAGCTCCACCCTTCCATTCTGCTATGACATGGAAATTTCCCCACTGAATTTTTAGATATCCTGGCAGCTCATAGGCAAGCAGTGACTTAAAACAATCGACAAGCTTTGATTAAAATGAAACAAAGTACCTCCTACTAGATTAAATTCGCTTAATTTTAAAAGCTAGACTACATCAAGACAGTTTCTGTGTGGAAAAATAGGTTATAAGCTGTTCCCAGGTGATGAATGACATTTGCTTTACTGTGTCTCTAAGTCAAATTTGCAGGCAACTCAAAGCAGATATATACAGTTCTTAGTTAGTCTTGCTTTAGATCAAGAAAAATCTTGAAGGATTTTCAATCATTTAAAAGCTGCACCTGTAGCAAGTGAAGGTAATGGTGAGGAAGAATTTGCTGCAAGTAGGAGTTGGTTCCTGGGACTCTAGTGGTACAGTGGTTAAAGCTAACCAACAGGTTGGCAGTTTGAACCCACTAGCTGCTATACAGAAGAAAGATGTGGCAGTCTATTTCCATAAAGATTTACAGCCTTGGAAACCCTATAGGGCAGTTCTACTCTGTCCTGTTGTTGTTGTTGTTGTTATGTGCCGTCGAGTCGGCCCCGACTCATAGCGACCCCTTCTTGGGTTTCCGAGGCAGTATCACTACGGAAGTAGGATTGCCCAACCTTCCTTCCGAGGAGTGGCTGGTGGATTTGAACCGCCAGCCGTCTGGTTAGCAGGCAAGTGTCTTAGCCACTATGCTACCAGAGCTCCCACTCTGTCCTGTAGAGTCACAAAAAAAAAAAAAAAAAAAAAAAACACTGCTGTCTACTCATTTCCAGTTCATAGCAACCCTTCCTTGGGTTTCTGAGGCACTATGGAAGTAGATTGCCCAGTCTTCCTTCCAAGGAATGCCTGGTGGGTTTGAATCGCCCCCCTTCTGGTTAGCAGTCAAGTGCCTTAGGCACCATGCCACCACAAAGAGTTGGAATTGTCTTCAGGCAGTGGGTTGGTTTTTTGGTAGAGGTTGGTTCAATTGTTTCAAAGTAAGGGCAAATTTACATCACATTAAAGAGCAAGTACAAGTTGTCAGACTTGTTCTCCAGTGACTGCCTGTAATAGTGAGCCAAGTTAGCTCACTCCATAGTTTCTCAGCTTTCTCAGGATATTGTTCATGTTTTTGTGAGGGCACTATTTTCATGTCATTAATCAACTTGCATGAACAAAATTAATCTGTGAATATTAAATGTTTTATGCCAGGCCTTTCCATGATGTGGCTGTTTTTAGCAACAACCTATTTGATTTGTGGAACTTTAAATGGTGATGGATTCTTTCAGTTGGAAAAGGAAGTGAATCCTGAAGTATGGATGAATATTGTAAGTCATGGAAAATTCCAAAGAACAGTAGATAAAGCAAGATTAACTGGTCGTGAGATTATCAAAGGTCCTATTATAGCAGAAAATCTCTAATAAGAAAACAAGTAAAACAAATGGTTTTTAACATCTCTGTAAAAGTCTTGGGATTTCTCGTGGCCTAGTGCCTAAAGCATTTGACAGCTAACCAGAAGGCTGGTGGTTCAAACCCACCAGCCACTCCTCAGAAGGAAGACTGTGCATTCTACTTCACTAGAGATACTGCCTCGGAAACCCAAGGAGGGGTCACTGTGAGTCAGAAACTTGATTGCAGAGAGTTTTTGTGTTTTTTTTTTAAATAACAAAAAGAATTGTGCTTTTATAGATTGCCCCAGCTTTTGAGTTGATATTTTAAGAACCTTAATTCCTTTGGATGATACATATAAATGCCTCCTACTGGTCTATAGTTTTGTTATGTTTAAACTAAGAGTGGTTTCAAAAGAAAATTTACTTGGGAATATAGCTTTGTCAGAATAAACAAGCCAATACTAAAATTTCTCCCCACTGAAATATATAGATAGATAGATACAGATATGCCACTAGTTGACATTTTCTAATATTCTACTTATTTTTATAAAATATATAAGTACTAAATAATTTTACAATTGCTTGGGGCTATAGATTTCAGATAATTCACCCAATAAGTGCACACTAATGCTTTGTTCTATTTCCTTCCAATATTCTTTGCAGAAGATAGATAACACTTATATTTTTATTGGACAGAGTGAAATAATCACTTATAACGGCTACCCCAGTGAGGAGTATGATGTTACCACTGAAGATGGGTACATCCTCAGCATCAATAGAATTCCCCATGGGCGAAAAGATTCTAGGAAAACAGGTACAAGATGCACCTCTCCTGAGAAAGAGGACTGAGTGTGACCAAAATTCAATACTGGCTCTTCCTTAAGAGAGTGACTGATTGATCAAAATGAGTTTAAGTGATTGTATCGGTCTTTAAACGGTTAACAGGGGGGCTCAATCATTCCCTCCCTTTGAATTCGCTAAAGACAGGCAAGAACCTAAAAACACATAGGGCAAAAGACTGATCTTGTTAACTACAATCAGGCTTGCTTGTTGAAGTGGAAATGCGAAGTGGAGGCCGCATTTTGTTAGCTCATTACTGATTTCTGGTTTCTCATAGGAGCTCTGGTAGCATAGTGCCTAAGGCACTTGACTGCTAACCAGAAGGCTGGCGGTACAAACCCACCAGCCACTCCTCAGAAGGAAGGTTGGGCAATCCTACTTCTGTAGTGATACTGCCTGGGTAACCCAAGGAGGGGTAGCTATGAGTCGGGGCCGACTCGACGGCAAATAACAACAACAACAACATGTGGAAAATGGACTTGTCCCAGAAAGTGGATTTTCTCATTGATGGAAGGACATCAGCTGGGTGGTATGAAGTCGGTTAAGGGGCAGCCCAAAAGAGCCTTCTGCCCCTACTGGAATCGATGGGACTTCCTCTGTAGGATAACAAAGCAAGTTACAACTGTAGGATTTCTGAAACTTTTGCTGAAAATGAAAGCTTTAGCATTCACATATACTGTGCCCTAAAGGACACATGATTTATGTAACAAAAAAATATGGTGTTAAGAAGATATGGATTCTGAAATATGATAAAACAGGCACATAAAAGCAGGGAAATTACATTTCTTCAGTGGGGAATAATAAATGCAACGAGTTTGAAGAGGGAAAGATAAGAATATGCAAAATATCTATAATTTACTGACAGTTGCATATGTCATGAATTGGAGGCACTTGATAGCAACTAACAACAACAACAAACAATACCCAGTTCGTTCCATATATTCTCTCGCATCCTCAGTGGCGGCTAGAATCATGTTGTTGAACATTCTCTCCCCATAAGACAGTAATTTGTAATTCAAGAGTTTCAGAATGGAAAATAGGAGTGAAGTGTGGAAAGAGTTGTCAAATAAAGGATGCTCAGTTAGCATAGTGCCTAAGGCATTTGACTGCTAACTAGAAGACTGGTGGTCCAAACCCAAGAGCCACTCCTCGGAAGGAAGGCTGGGCAATCTACTTCTGTAGTGATACTGCCTCCGAAACCCAAGGTGGGGTCACTATGAGTCAGATCCAACTCAACGGCAGTGCGTTGTTTTTTGTTGTTAGTTAAATTTGAATTTCAGATAAACAATAAATAATTTTTTAATGTAAGTCTTATTTTAGGGTATATTTATATTTAAAAGTTATCTGTTGTTTATCTGAAACTCTAATTTAACTGAGCATCCTAGTTTGTTTTTGTTTGTTTGTTAAACCTGGCAATAACTGGCATAAACTATATAAGGAAAAAATCTTTAGAGGAACTTTTGCTTAAGGAGGAAGAGATTTAGAAAGATCTGGAATTACAAAAAATTATAAGATGTCTAGAAGCCCTGGTTGCATGGTGCTTAAAGTGCTCAGCTGCCAACTGAAAGAATGGTAGTTCAAACCTACCAGCCACTCAGCAGGAGAAAGATGTGGCTCTGCTTCTGTGGAGACTTACTGTCTGGGCAACCCTATGCGGCAGTTCTCTGTCTTACAGGGTCCCTATGAGTTGGAATCAATTTGACAGCAATGGGGTATTAGGTGCACATGAATCCTTTACACGAATTAAATCAGTTAAACCTCCCTGCGGCCCTATGAGTGGGTACTGTTAATAGTCCTCATTTTACAGATGAAGACATTGAAGCCTAACAAATCACGGAGCCTGGCCTTAAGTCACACAATAGCAAGTGACAGAACCAGGATTCAAACCCAGGGAGCTTGCTGCCAGAGCCTGTGTGTGCTCTTAACTGTTAAATGATAGTGCCACAAACTTCAATGCTGGTTCTTCTCATCTTCGTGAATACTCCTCCTTGGGGATTTGGACAGAAGCTTGATGGGGAGCTAGTCAGTGCCCATTAACACTCACTTCCTCTTCTTCCCTGGAAAAGATATCAATTTGATCATGTTACTTCCAGTTCCCGAGCACAAACTTTGTACCTGGTCTTCTACTGATTGATTTACATACATTATCTCATTACTTTCCTACAGTAGTTCTATAAAGTAGCTGCTGTTTTGATAACACTCATTTTACAGATGTGGATGTGGAGGCTTCAAAGAGTTAAGTAACATTCCCAAGGCCACTCAGCTAACAAGGTACACAGCAGGGATTATAATGCTCTATATGAGTCAGGGCTGACTCGATGGCAAATAACAACAACAACAACAACATACTAATGGCAAGGGAAAGAAGTGAATGAATTAATGTTTTTTTCTTTTCCCCTTGTGTTTGTGTGTGTGTGTGTGTGTGTGTTTCTATCATGTTTCTGACGTGCTATGTTTACCATAAATTGTTTTCTCTCCTTCTTTCCCTCCCCTTCTAGGACCCCGGCCTGTTGTATACCTCCAGCATGCCCTGTTTGCAGACAATGCCTCTTGGCTTGAGAATTTTGCCAATGGCAGCCTTGGATTCCTTCTAGCAGATGCAGGCTATGATGTATGGATGGGAAACAGTCGGGGAAACACTTGGTCAAGAAGACACAAAACACTCTCAGTGACTGAAGATGAATTCTGGGCCTTTAGGTAAATTGTATCTAAGAAAAAATATGAGGAAAGTCCAAGGCAGTTTCTGTACAAATGGTAATGTTAATAATAATCTGTGATACTTATAGTTTCCAGTAATATCTCAAAAGAGAGCAAGAAGCTTTGATTTCCATTGATTCTCTCAAAGGCAAATTTTACCATTTTAACAAGATGATTTTAAAACCCAACTTTATATAAACACATTTTAAGTTTGTCCAAAGGGACAGCTCCAGAAATTTGTTACAACCAATGCACACATTCATTCAACCAATATTCATTGAGTATCTCTTTTTTAAAGAGCTCTGGTGGCACTGTGATTAAATCATCTGGCTGCCAACCAAAAAAGGTCAGCAGTTTGAACTCACCAGCTGCTCCATGGAAGAAGGATGAGGAAGTCTGCTTCTGTAAAGATTTATAGCCTTGGAAACCTGAGCAGTTCTGCCCTGTCCTATAGTAACCCTGTACATTGGAATCAATTTGATGGCAGTTTGGTTTTTTTTTTTTTCCAAATCTATTATAGTCACTGTTCTATGCACTGCACATTCAGTAATACACAAGGCAAAGCTGCTACGCTTATATTCATTCTAGTGATGCCTTTACAAGTCTTTTCTTCTGGGTAGCCAATCAATGTCACAAAGATAATGTGTGTTGGAACTATGTTTATACAAAGAAACTACAGTTGAGATTGTAGAGAAAAACACTTTCAGAAAAACTTTAATATGAGATTTAAAGATCTTGTGAATGGACAATAGAGAAGACTCTATTGATATGTTGACTGTTTCTTTTAGTGAAAATATTTCTCTGTTGGTACCAGAGGAGAGGCCAATGCCAGCAATGTGCTTCCCTTCCTCAGGCCTAAGCTCTCAACTGGTTTGCAACCCTGTTCCTAGAACAGAATGTCACATTAATGAAATATTCAGCACCCACTGACATATTGAGAGAAGACCAAAGTAAACCAAACATGCTAGGACAGACTGAAATGTAAAGCTCAGAGCTCTCGGACAAGGGCAAGTATCTGGAGAAATGTTGTGATACCAGTCCTTGGCTAGGAGCTCAAACCTTGCTTACTTTAAGAATTCTCCTATCCTTGGGAGTATCAATTTAAAAATTGCCTCACATGTGCTTTTGACAAACAGGCCTTTTGCTCATGGGGTACCCAACTCAACTAAAAGTTATATACCAAATTCACTGCCATCAAGTCATTTCCTACTCATAGAGACCCCTCCTTGTGTTTTCAAGGCACTATCTCTACAAAGTAGATTGCCCAGTCTTCCTTCCAAGGATTGGTTGGTGAGTTTGAACTTCCAGCCTTCTGGTTAGCAGTCAAATGTCTTAGGCACCATGCCACCAGAGCTCTCAAATGTTACATTGGGCCCTTTTTGTTCCCTTGAATTAGTGTAAACTAAACAGGTTCTAGAGGAGTTTGGTAGATATTGAATATATATATCTATATGTACTAACACATAAAAATAGCCACATCTGATTGACTGCCTAGTAGCAGCCAGTCATCTCTCTTAATACTAGCCAATCTTGACAGCAACTCTGCAAACCAGGTACTATGATATTCATTTCAGAGATGAGGAAATTTAGGCTCAGAGCATTTAAGTAACTTATTAAAAGCTACTTGGTTAGTAAATGGTAAAACCATATTTTACAACCTGTCCTGTTTCCAAAGCTGGATATTAGAAGACTCTAAGACTTTTGAAGTCCCATGGGCAAGTCAAAAGCTGTTAGTTGCCATCAACTCAATTCTAACTCAATGCAACCCCATGTGTTACAGAGTAGAACTGTACTCCATAGGGTTTGTATCACTGAAGGAGCTAAGATGGAAGTTGTTGTTGTTAGGTGCCATTGAGTTGATTTTGACTCCTAGTGACCCCGGGTGACAGTGTAGAACTGCCTCATAGGGTTTTCTAGGCTGGAATCTTTACATAATCTTTGTGGGAACAGATTGTCAGGTCTTTCTCATGGAGCCGCTCAATGAGTATTTACCATCAACCTTCCAGTTAGTAGCCAAGGACTTAATCATTGTGCCACCAGGGCTCCTAAACCAAAAGTAGAGAAACGCAAACCAGATGGGGAAAGAGAAGGGAAAGAAATGCAAGGGAAGGGAGTGAAGAGGAGGGATAATAAGACTAAACTGCAGGTACTATAAACAAGTTTTATAATCCTCTCTGTAACTGTTGTTGTTGTTATGTGCCATCGAGTTGGACCTGACTCATAGCGACCCCTCCTTGGGTTTCCGAGGCAGTATCACTATGGAAGTAGATTGCCCAACCTTCCTTCCAAGGAGTAGCTGGTGGGTTTGAACTGCTAGCCTTCTGGTTAGCAGTCAAATGCCTTAGGCACTACGCTACCAGAGCTCCCTTCTCTGTAACTATAAAGTAAAAAATATAAACACAGCTGAAAAAAAGCTACAATAGCCTACATTTAACTGGATACCAAAACCCCTTTCTACTGAGTTGTTTCTGACTCATAGCAACCCTATAGAACAGAGTAGAACTGCCCATAGGGTTTCCAAGCTATAAATGTCTAGGGACAGCAAACTGCGGCATCTTTCTCCAGCAGACAGTCCAGTGGGTTCCAACGACCAATCTCTCAGAAGCCAAGCACTTAATTGCTGTACCACCAAGGTTCCTCAACCATATTTAATTGGGTAAATAATGAAATAATCACTGAATAAGTAGCACAGAATTCTGAGTGTAAAAAAAAAAGAGTGAGCACTCTGAGTTTTAAACTCATTTGTGTTTCTAAATCTCTGTTTTATTTTGCAGTTTTGATGAAATGGCCAAATATGACCTCCCAGGAATAATAAACTTCATTGTAAATAAAACTGGCCAGGAGAAGTTGTATTTCATTGGACATTCACTTGGTACTACAATAGGTATGTTTAGAAGGGCAAACGTTATTGGAGTCTTGCAAGAGTTTACCTTAAATTAGAGAAGAATAGCTGCCATTTACAATACCTTTAATTCTCTGTCTTTTGAGTGTCCTATGTGGAGAGATTGCCCCTACTCCCATGCCAAGAGGCTGTGAATGTGTAGGACAAAACTTTTCCCCATCTGTGGGCACGGTGCCATGTTTGTAATGGTGATACAGTTTCCCAGGAATAGCATGAACCAAAATCCAAAGAAATAATTACAAAGAATATGTTCCTAGATCCACTTAGAACTGAATGCCTTGAAATATTTCTGAGAAATGGTAAATATACATCAGTCATAACTTCCTTGCAACCCACAATATGTTAAAAAAAAAAATGAAGGATGGCACTTATGTCTGAACAAATTTGAAAAATATGGATATATTTTGTTAGTGGGTTATATGGATATATTTTGTTAGTTGGGATATAAATTTTACTATAATAAACCAGCTGGGTTTATCTACTTAGCATGTGATTTACTGTGTATGGCCTAGCAACTAAATGTGAGCTCTATGTAGATTTTATTTTTTAAGTTCAAGATTTTGCTCTCTAATATTTTACTTTTTTAAAGATTCCTAAATCTTTTGGGAAGAATCAATAATCTAGCTCCAAATAGAAACTAAAAGAAATTCATTCTATGAAAATTTGAATTTGTTATTGATCAGTCACTGAAATTTTCAATTATAAGGTATTTAACCTTAAGGAATGCAATATTTCAGTTTGCACTCTTTATATCTAAATACTTAAAACTACAGGAGACCATAAATATTCTTACAATTTTCTTGTCATCATCGTTATCATCAACAGCAAGTATTTGTTGATCAATGTTTTATATTGATCCTCAGGCAGCTTAAAATCTTGGAACAGACAGTGTGTATCAGGGAGTACATACTAAAAGAATATCAAATGATGAATGGGAGACCCAAAAATATCACTAATATCCAAATAATTATTTTGTAATAACTAACATTTATTGACCATTTACTATATATTGAGGCCTCTGTTCAGAATATTTTGCACAATACTTCCCTCTAAAGAACAATTCTACTATTATTATATCTATGATATAGAAGAGGAAACAGAAGTTCAGAGAAATTGAGCTGCCCAAGGTTCCTTAGAGCGTAAAAGGTGGAGCACAGATTCAAACCAAGTCAGTCTAACTTCACCAGTGGGGTGCTTGGGCCCTGTGGAGAAATTGTATGAAGAAGAATAAGACTTTAGTTGGGTCTGGGAAACAGGAGAGGACTTAGATATGCTCTTGTATCTGATCTTCAAAGAAAGCACAGGAACCTTGATCATCACTGCTCTATGTTGCATTTAGAACACGACAGTTTTCACTGAATATTATTGGTATTTAGGGAAGGGAAATGTTCATTATTTATAGAACATTAATCAACCCTGGTCCTAACCCCATAAATACCAATACAGCTCCCTAGACATCAAAAATCTCATCTCCACATATTTTCAAACACCTCCTGGGAGTACTACAAGTGTAAGCCTAGTTTAGAGTCTTCCTTTCAGTTTGCAACCAAATATTTCAATTCTCCTTTGTCTAGCCAAGTCTCTTTTAATATTTCACAAAGAATTTCAAGCAAGAGCCTCTGCTATAGCTCTATACACACACACACACACTTTGGTTGAAGCCCCTAAAGGAGGCACCTGGGGGAAACAAAATATACAAATATCCCTGTCCTTCCCTGTGTTGTACTTGTCCTCCCTCATCCTCCAAAGGCTTTAAATAAATGGTTGCAATGCAATTGCTGAAAGCCGAAGTGGATAGATTCAACTGATCCTTACGGTGACCACAGTGGGCTAGGGCAAGTCTTCCATCTTGGCAGCAGGGAAGAGTCTGAAGGATTGGAAAGCATCCAGTAAAGTGCTAGGACAATGAGCTCTCATTCCATTGTGAAAAAAGAAGCCTGCTAAATAATTAGGTAACACTTCAGAAAGGATTGATTGGCTCACCTCTCATGAAGAGACTATTTATTTCTAGAAGCTCGGTGACTCATTCTGCCCTCTCAAAGTTGGGGTTAAATGATAATATTGTGAGCACATACCCTATGACAAGGACGTAAGGTTGTCCACCATTCACCAAACCATAGCTGTTTGGCTGCTCCTCCTCCATATTTCTGCCACCAGCTACTCCAGTTCTCCAAGCAGGTTAAATTATCCACCAAGAAAATAAGAAAAATTTGGAAACATGGAAGTAGAGAGAGCTGAAACCATCTTAGCAAAACAACTCAGAAGAGTTCCAATTCATCCCCAAGATCACTGAAAGAGAAAGATAAAAATAACAAATTGTAGTCCCGCTTCTGTTAGTAGAAGCATTGCATAAGTATTTCTAATTTTTACAAAATTGTCTCGTCTTCTGTTCTCTCAGGGTTTGCAGCCTTTTCCACTATGCCTGAACTGGAACAAAGAATCAAAATGAATTTCGCCTTGGGTCCTATGTTCTCATTCAAATATCCCACAGGCATTTTTACCAGTCTTTTTCTAATTCCAAATTCCTTAGTCAAGGTATGTCGCCCCTTTTGCCAAAATCTATCTGGAGATCTCATTTGGAGTCACAAATCCTTATTATTTTAAAATCTATTATGATGTAAAAGATAAAAATTTGGATGAAATCTTTAAAAATCAGGCTCTGTGAACATGTTCTTGTGTGTGTATGTGTGTACCTGTGTGTGTGTGTGTATTTAGGGCCTATATCTTCCATCTACAATTTAATATACTCATTCATAAGTACCACTGAGTATATGTCATATGAACTTCTAGATGAGCTGAAAGCTGTGTCAGTATGAGATCTACTCATAAATTTTCTTGTGACATTCATTTGAGTAGGTCAATGAACTCACTATGTCCAAATGTATGTAATTCTTGGAATTACATGTAACCACTATGACTTTGGTTTTAGATGAACCTGGGAGGTATACACCTTCCCTTATAGGAGCCTGCACTAATTCACTAAAGCTAAGATTTCAAAGCCTGTCTTAAAGCTCAATTATTCATTCAAATATTTGTTGGTTATTTTCTAAATGTTGGAAAAGTAGTTTGACAGCCAATGCTGGATTTGGACTTTTTTCATTGAAGGGTTTTCCCCACTCCCTGTGTGTTTTTGTTTCTCTAAAAGAAGTCATTGCCACAATGAATATAATAGTTCACAAAGACAGCCCATTCCATTTGGGGTACAGGGTAAATTGGATTTGGACTAAAATAAAGTCAAGGACACCAGGTAAGATATCATAGTAATTCACATTTAAAAAGATGAAATCTTGGTTTTGAGTGGCGTTGGGAATGGAAATTATTACGTGTGAGCTAGCACAAAGGATTTCCATAGGACCTGATAGGTTTGATAGCAATTTTACTGTTTCGTTTGCTGTAGCGCAAGTAAGGTAACTTGCCTTTTGTGTGGTTGATAGTTCTATTTCAACATTTATTGATATCAATTAATTTTGAATGTTTTCTACATTTGGGCAGGGTTGAGCAGATTAATTTGTTACATTAAATTCAGAGGCAGACACACCTACCTTTAAATATCAGTTTCATATATGCTTTGTTCTGCCTGGGTAGATCAGGTTTGAGGCAAAGAGTGTCCTTAGCTTCTCTCAGTTTTATATCACCTGCCCTCAAATTTCCTACCAATTTAAGTCCTATTTCCATTCCCCTTCCATAACTTTTGAGAATATCTGCTGTCCAGAAGCTCCAGGTTTTCCATCAGAGATCTCTACACATGCTTTCTTTCCTATGTCCTTCCAATAAATCATCTAATCTCTTTGGTCCAGTGGCCCTTCTCTTCAGTGCACCGTTCTCTACTTTTCAGCATGAAAGCTAGCTAACCTGGGACACTACTATAAAACCAATGAATGGATGGGCAATAGAGAAAACCCTATTTTTCCTTTTTATTTAATATGATATCTAACCTTAAGAAATATTGTTCCACCTTTCTTCCCAATAAATGATAAATAAGAAATGTTAGCAATCTCTAAATAGACAGAATGTGGGAAAGCTTTACCATGGGGAGTAAATTTGGGATGGAGGATCCTTTCTGCAAATGCCTTCTAAATGATATTAATACCCTTCCATGGTAGGAGATGGAGTCCTAAGTCAGTTTTCCTGAAGAACCTGGTCTCATTCACAAAAACAGAAAATACAAACATATCCCCAAGTACAGCTCTTGCCTGGGATGAAAAATTGTTATGGAGTCTGAAGATAGTTCTTGAAAAATATATACTTTTTTTTACTTTTACAGGTTTTTTTTGGCACTAAAGGTTTATTTTTACAAGAAAAGATAGGGAAGATGCCTTCTATCAAACTCTGCGACAGTAAAATACTCTGGATGATATGTAGAGAATTTATGTCCTTATGGGCTGGATCCAACATAAGAAATATGAATGCGGTATGTAAATAACTATGAGATCTTTTGATAATTTAAGAAATTCTAGCTTTCCTTTGATTAATTTTGGTATCTCTATTTTACTGCATAAATTCATATGGCTTATTCTATACCCCTAATGAGAGATTCTCTGTATATAGATCAGGTATTCAGTGGACCCTGAATATGGGAACACATTGACACAGTGCATTAAAAAATAAAATTAGAGAAAGGTAGAGAAACACATGTAGACACTGAACATATTTCAGGTGTGCCTCCACTTGTGGATGATTTTGACCTCAAGTAAAACTTACCACTTAGCCTAGAAAATACAGGAAGAAGATGGAACGAACTTCTTGTGTGTGTAGAAGCAGCAGTTCTGTTTCATCAACTCTGTTTCCTGTTACTTAGAATTAAAAACAGTGAAGAAGAGAAGGAAGAGGAGAAGAAGAAATAGAAGAGGAAAAGGGTGAAAAGAGAAAAGAGGAGTTGATATTTGCAGACGACTATAGTTGAATGGGAGCTCTGGTAGCATAGTGCCTAAGGCACTTGACTGCTAACCAGAAGGCTGGTGGTTCAAACCCACCAGCCACTCCTCGGAAGGAAGGTGGGGCAATCTACTTCCATAGCGATACTGCCTCGGAAACCCAAGGAGGGGTTGCTATGAGTCGGGGCCGACTTGACAGCACGTAACAACAACATAGTTGAATAGTTGTTGGGTTGGTTGTCCTAGAGTCCACTCTGACTCATGGAAGCCCTGTGTACTACAGAGCATGTGACCTTCATGATCATGAGTATACTTGAGTTCATTGTTGTGGCAATGTGGATTTTTAATGTCTTCCAACCCAAGGGCTCCTTTTTGAGCACTTTATCAGACAATATTCTGTTGTGATCCATAAGGTTTTCTTTGGCTAATTTTTGGAAGTAGGTGTCAGGCTTTTCTTTCTAGTCTGTCTTATTCTGGAAACTCCACTGAAACCTGTCCACCATGGGTGACACTCTGGTATTCGAAATACTGGTGGGATAGTTTACAGCATCATAGCAACATGCAAGCCACCACAGTACAACAGACTGACAGATGGATGGTTAGTTGAATATTTACCTCTGTCATACTAAAAAAAAAAAAAAAAAAAAGCCAGTGAGACTGTTACTGTGAATCTCACCCCAAAGAAGGTAACCGTTATCCACTAGCTCACCCCACCCCTATTCATTAAAAGGCTAAGTTGTGCTAGACTGAAACTAGGAAGAACCATTCATTATTCAAAGCCTGATTACTCCAAAATAGTAACTTACAATAGTTTCCCTTGATGCGTTCACTGCATCCTAATATCTAGAATAATGATTACCATTGTAGTCTAATTTTTTCTGTAAAATGTTTACCAAAATTGAAGTACAGTGCATATGGATGTGATTGGTTTTCATCTTTTTTTTTTTCTCAAATATTTCATTTCATCCTCACAGGAGCCTAGGAACTTGGTATGTTCTTTTAATCATGTTTCCCTTAACAGATGAATGAAACAGAAACTCAGAGCTCTTAAATAACTTTCCCAAAGCCATAAAGCTTATAATTAAGACAGTAGTTGGACCTGAAATCTAGATCTTCTGATCTCCTGGTCTGTAATCATGTACATGCATGTGTACACACACAAACACACACACACCCTTGCACACAATACCTGTCCTAGCTGATTTTCTCTGTGATGTCCACTGCTATACCTTCTACTTCAAAAGGAGCAAACTTTTCCACAGTTTCAGAGCTAGTACAAGTTTGCCCTCAAGCGATCCATCCCTTTTATCAGCCCATGTTTCACTCCCAGCCTAGTATCTGACATGAATACATACTTGCTTGGATGATTCTATTTTGCCACTTCCAAAACCTCAGAATTCATTTACTAACTTTAGTAACCTTGTTCTTTGCCCCTGAAAGGCTTCATGCATTTTGATTGGCGGTTCCTCCTTGCTGTAACATCATGCTTTGTTGGTTTTCTTCCTTCAGAGTCGCATGGATGTGTATTTGTCCCATGCTCCCACTGGATCATCAGTACAGAACCTCCTGCACATAAAGCAGGTAGAGTCTTTGTCATGGAAAGCTATTCCAATCATGATTTTCATTGTATGTCAAAAGACACAGTCACGCTTTTTAACAAGCCTTCCGTAAGACACTTAGAGAAGTGTCTAGGACACTTTTGTTTTATCCTTGTTCGCTGTCTTTATGCTTTGATAATCCCTGGACTTTAAGAGCAAGCACAGAGTTTGGTGGAAACCAAGTAGGTGACATAAGCTAGAGCCTGTAACATAGGGTCGAAGTTAAAGCAACAGGTAAAAGGAAGAAGCCCCAGGAGAGGTGAGGCTTCCACAGAAAATACCTTGGATTTTACTTCCTCCTTAGGAGTCTTGGTTTCTCCTTCACCTTTCCTTCGAACAATGGAGGGTATTGCTTCTCTTTCTCTGCTGACTGCATTTTCAAGCGCTAAAAGCCCCTAATGACACAGAAGCTTCATTTTGTTGTTTGCTCTTGTGATTTGTAGTCTGAATGTTCTCATTTAAAAATTATTTATTTCAGTTGTACCGAGCTGATGAATTCAGAGCTTATGATTGGGGAAGTGAAGCTGAGAACATGCTTCACTACAACCAGGTGAGCTACCCAGAATGATCCCAGAACAACGGTTTTGTCAAATTACTTGAGAATTGGAATCCCATCAGACAATAGGTGACATTGTCACTGGTAATCTTTTTTCTTTTAAATTTTAAAGTATTTAAGCTAAATATTCTTTAATTATTATTTTTTCCCACTTTTAATCTGTATTCATTGCAAAAAAAATTAAAAATAAAAGAAGCATTTATAAAGGAAAGTAAATCGTTTATTATCTCACTATCTAGAGACAAGTAAGTATATTAATATTTTGGTGTATTTCTTCCAATTTTCTTCAGTATTATACTGCTTTTCACAACTTTTTATCTTGGTTTGTAACTTATATTCATATCAAGAGATAACCAATTTAATGATGGTTTTTAACAGAAATTTTTTCATAAAAAATCTTAACAGAATAAATGAATACTTACTTCTTGATACCAACAGAGAAAATCAGGATTCCACATGAAAATTAAGAGCATTACCCACCCTTAAATAGTTGGATCTTAAAGTATTTTTCCCCTATAATTTTGTGCAGCAAAATTCATAGACACATTTAGATCTGTACTTTTAATTTATCCTATTGTCACCATTTTGGTACTTGAGCAAGGACTGGGCTTCTAAGCATAGACTAAACACATTAAGTTACAATCTCCCAGCATATTTATTTCTTCCCTCAGACTAACATATTTAAGGCTCTTTATTGGCATAAACATGCAACAATTGAGCTGATTTTGAACAACAGAGCATTTGATTTCTCAGTAATGGATTTGACTGTTAGAGGAATGATTCTATTAGTCTTTAATACAACTACAAAAGCAAGGCTATGTATATTTTATCTCTTTCAGTCAACTTGATTAAGGTCCGATAGACATAAAATAAAATCACTCATGTGTTCATTCTAATGATTTTTGACATGTGTTCATCTGCGTAGCCATCCTCACAATTAAGATATAAAACATTTCTATTACCCCAAAAGTTTTCTCCTGTCCCTCAAACTGTGTCTATTCAGAAAGGTATTTACTGCATTTGAAAATACTTAGAAAGCGTCCCGCCGCTCCCTCCCCCCACCCC